CAGTTCACCAAGTAGGGGAGTTGGTAACCAGCTGAGCCTTTGATGACGTCACTAATACCTGCATTGACTCTGCCTTGTGGAAGAAAAGAGAGTGTGGAATGAGGGGTGAGGGCTGAGTTGGCCCTGCTGCCATTTGCCCACGGCCTTTGTTGTCCTTTCATGGCTTGGTCTTCCTGTGCTTCAAAATTGATGTGAAGAGGTCATACTTAATATCTCTTGAAGCCCCTTCCAGCTCTACATTCTATGATGTTCTTTGCCGGTTTTGGCAAATTTATGAGGAAGGTAAATACATAAGGAGTGATACCAATCAAAACCTTATTAAGACCACTTTAACAAGGAGGGAGGAAGGAAGGGAGAGGAGCGAGGAAGAGACAGAGAGAGAAAGGAAACACTGAATGACTCTGTGACATGACCACTCTCAATGAATGTGGACAATCTGTCTTCTTTTTGGGGTTAGAGTTAGGGTCTACCTTGTGCTGTTTCTGGGGATCAACTTGATTGCTAACTGCCCAGTGAAATGGCGTATCAGGATCTGTATGCAGGATGACCAGCCTGCAATATCCTGGCACATGTAACCACTGTGGTTGGTTCGAAGGTCTTAGCAAGCGAATGCTGGGTGTAGCTTTACTCCTCCAGGCAAAGGTTGGTGAGGTATAAAAGTAGTTTGTATAGCATCGACATGCCAGATTCACTTTATGACCAATGTGTAACACGTCTACAGTCTTATGAAGAGATTTTATTGGCCACCAGAATGACCCAGTGACATCAGGCAGAGTCTTCTGATAGTTTTTGTGAAGTTAATATAATGATGTTTTGTAGAAAAAAATTATAAAAGTCTTTTTTATCAGGTAGGTGAGCAAGAGGGCACCTGTGCAATTCCTGAGTGTGAAAGACGAAAGTGTGCAGTTTTGTACAATAGCAGCAGTGGTAGCAGCATCCTGAGACTGACTGAGACTAATCTGGTTTAAGCTCCAAATATGACCTACATTACAAGTGGCAGAATCTCATGGAGCCTAGTGAGGAATTTTCTCCCACTTGTTCTAAATCCTAGAGCCTTTACAATCTAGCCTATCATGAAGGAGAAAGTGTTTCTGACCATATCTTGGAGAAATCAAATGCTGTGTTTATGTAGGGCTTAGAAATAAACAAAGATCTGTGCTCCCTCTGCTGGCTCCCTTCAGCAGTATTAAAGTAGAAGGGAAACATAAACAGTGTTGGCATCTTCAGCAAACGCAGTCAATTCAAGAAGAACCACTCACGTAACTTGGTTTCAGACATTCTTTCAGAAAAATCCATCTTTATCAACTTCTGACGAAGGTACTTGGAAATTCTTAAAAGGCAACATCAAATTATACATACCTATAGTCCTCAACTACCAAATTGCTAGCTGTGATTGTAATAGTGATTTGGGGATTCATTTATCAACAGACACCAGTGGATTCCGCCAAGATTTTAAGGTCCAGATACAATCTTTAAAGCAGTTCTGGGAAAAAACCTGAAGTCCAAGATAAAGTTTCTTTTTTTTCTTTTGTTTTCTAAGAGTAGCTTCCAAAAGTAAAGATTTATACTATTTATATCCTTTCCGATAATGTCAAACATTAGACTTGATTTTCCAGATCATTAGCATGCAGAAGAATGACCTCATGGTGAACAGATGCACTTGGCTGTGAGCTGCAGTGATTACATCAGTCCCTCCCAGCAGTGGAGGGTGCCCATTCCAGTTAACCCTTGAAAGGCCTCTCTGCCAGCCCCCCTAACCTAGTCCCTCATCCCAATGTGTGTGTGTTAATTGCAGCCAATATTTTCACACTGGTTACTTATTGCTGGTAAATAAGGAAAGAATTAAAAGGAACGCAAACTATAAGGCTAGGTAAAAAAGCAGCTCAAATACCTATTACACATGGGGCATCATCAATACAAGTAATGGGCAGAATAGATATGAGGCAGGTGGTGTTTTAAAATAACATTTTCTGATTGGAAAAAAAAAAGTTTTTTGAACCTCTTTTAAAAAAGCTGAGCACTCATTATTAGCCTAACACAAAAGACCGTACCTCCTCATTTGGGGGTGACAGTGCATCATGAATAGAAGCCCGCTCACTTGGCCAGTGTGCCCCTCTGTGGCTGCCTTGGGTGACAAGCAACAGTGCAGGGGCAGGGAGAGTCTGAGGAGAGGGCATCTTTGGGCACAGGCCACTCCCACTTAGCACATCTCTTACTTATATCCAGGACTTAAAGGCTGATATGAGAGGCCTTCCCTCTAGAAAGGAGGGCGGCGCGCTGTTACACAGAGTGTGGAATGAATACAGTGTTCAGGTTATTCTCCCTTTGCATTAACAACAAAGCCCCTTGTTGCAAGGATACAAAGAAAACCTGGGAGCCCCTAATTCCTCCGATTGTGCATATGCATGTGAGCAGGAGCCCAAGGCCCTGCTTTGATGACACTGCTGGCCGAGAGGGTCTGATTGGGTCCTAAGTGCACTGTGGGAGCTTAAGCCGCTCAGGGTCAATTTTTCCAGTTGGCTTGCTGCTTGGAAGAGGAGACTTCACTTCAATTTCTTAGTTTAAGCTGACTGGCTCATCTGGGTTTGACTGTACTTGTCCCAAAAAAATAAAAAACACCGTGAATAAATGAAAAATGTTTTCATCTGTTAAAGTGGTAACAGACAGGCACAGGGATTCCTCAAAAGCAAAATTGGTTCATAAATGAGAAGAGGATGTGGTTCTGAAAACGTGCCTGTATATGGTACAAAAATGCTCCATCCTCATTGCACTGCCCCCAAATTTCAGTTCAAATCAAGCTCATTTCTAGTTTCTTCCTATTCATTGTTGTGGGCGGATACACAAAGCCTTAAAAGAGAACATTATGCCCAGAGTTAAAATTACAGTCATGGATTGATGTCATATGCATATAACAAATTTTATCACTCAACACCAAATACCCTAAACCCTGAACATTATGAAATGTAAAACTGATGTTAACAATTTGAAAAGAGGAAGGACCAGCATTTGTCTTGCTACCCGATCTTTGGTTACACGTTCCTTTCGCACAGGCTCCAATGCCCATTCTTCGAGCTGTCAGAACCTTTATCTGCTAAGTGAGTTTGGCAAATGCGATGTTCTTGAAGAAGCCTGTCAGCAATCTTCTCCAAAGAGCAGGGCTTAAAAAATCCAATCGCTTCTTGGAGTCTCACTTAAGATGTTACCTACACACTGACTCATTTAAATTGGTTTAAATAGTTATGAACTTTTGGAAAAGATCAAGTTAATTTATACAGAGGCTAAAATACATGTAGAAAATAAAGTTTATCAATATTTCTTTCAATAACATCTTAACCATGAACCTTAAGGATGTAACACTTGAGTTAAGGAATGTAAATAGTTAGTTACTATTTCATTTCTTTTAATTTTAAGAAACAAAAAGCTTTATCAAGAGTTTACAAAACACAAAACACTGCACTGAAAAATTAAGTTCCAATATCTCATGACTATGGGAAAAAGCTGAATGAGATCTTTAAAAAATTAGCTTTGCTACAGATCCTTCATGTTCTTTCACCTAAAAATTAGAAACAATTTAAACCTCTAGCCAGACTGGGTATGAAATCTTCATTTCCCTTGAAACTGATTTTTTTTTTTCATTTTAGATAGAATGTTGGCAGAGTGTATAAAAGAATTCAATTCACAGCTGTTCTACTTTTTTAATGTAAGAAACATTAATCAAAGCTTTAAGTTATAAGCTTTTCTCATGTTGTTTAGTATTCCAGTTCAACAAAGATCAATAGAGGCCATCCCTATGTTTCTTGACGCCTCACCAGGAAGCAGCGGCGTGATTATGTAAATCATGCAGCTCCACCTCGGCCAGCTTGCTTATCTCCCAGGCCTTCTGCCTGCTGCTCCTGGCTCCCTGTGCAAGTGCAAGCCTCTCCCTCTTATCTCCCAACAAAGCTCCGAGAGGCACCGACGGAAGCCAGCGATGTTAAACAATGATGCATGGCTGATTTTATTTGTAAGTGATTTATTTCACTGAATTTAATTTTTTTTTCACTTTGTGTGTAAGATATTTGTTAACAAGTCAGAATAGGAGAAGTAAGGCGGTGTTTAGAGACAATTGACACAGGTTAGAAATCTATTAAGCTCTCTAGCAGTTGTGTCTACACTGGTGGAAGAAGGAAGCCCCTCATTGAGAATTTCAACATGCATTGACTAAATATCCCATTTACTCTCTGAAAGGCAATTAATCTCTAATTACATGCAGAAATTTACAAGCAATTCTATACTTTGAAAAAACCCCACAGCCATCATATAATCAGTTTAAGTGGCAGTACAAATTTTTTTTTTCAAACTGGAAATATAAAAAGAGTAAAAACTAAAAACAAGGACATTCACGGAAATTTTTGAAATTTCCATTGGCATAATAAATGAAAATGATTGTAAGCTAGTTTCTAAACAGGTTCCACACCAGGTGCTGCTCTGGTCAGCGGCTTGTCCATGTGACAGCGACCACTCCAGAGAGAGAACGTGCACGCTGCACTGCTGTAATGATGGCCCAGGGAACACTGTCCTTCCATTTCTCCTGCATTAATCCCTGACCCGCGCATCTCGGCAGCATAATCCCCATTTAGCATTAGTAGCAACGGCTTCGACTGTGAGGAACTCTTTTTTGATAAGTAAGCACTGATTCGGGCATCGCTTTTAAACAACATATTCCCAGCTCAGCAAGAAACCCACACTTCTGAATGAACCGGAGCACATTACTGAGAAAAAGTTCATTAACCTTGCTAGATTTGGAGGTTAACAGGATAGCCGAAGAAAAGAACTGAGTGAACAGCTCAGATACAAAACAAATTAAAATGAATGTCATCATTCCTTTTGATATTCATTAGCTGATTCAGAGGGAGAATGCTCTTCTTAAATTTGCAAGCATTTATCTGTGAAAAACAGGTGTGCATCTGCTGCTCGAGTGCGTCTTAGGCGCGTGAGGGAAGAATAATATAGACACTCACCCGTTCCACCGAGGGAGGAGCTGGGAGAGGGAGAAAAGACTTGGGCTGCGAAATCCTCAAATGTCATTACTTCACGGTGGTTCTGAATTACTGCTTCAAGATACAGAGCTCGCTCTTCATAGCTGCAGTGATCAGTTAAGGAAAGACGGGCATGTGCAGAATGACACCCATAACAATGACATAGTTCACTTTGTTTAAATAGTTAGGCAACTTTTACATTTGTGTGGGGAAAAAAGTACCTTGCAAGTCTGTTAACATCCTGCCAAAGAATGAAATATTAGTCAATAATTAATGACACAATTCTGATTTTGAGACTTAAACTTCTCTTAGACTTTAACTGCATCCAACACTAGTATCACTAAGAAATATCTACGCCAATAGTCACAGAAGTGCATCCAGATCATTAAGGTTGATCCAACACACAGAACAGAGATGCTGATTGTGACATTTCTTTTCAGTGACAACTGTGGGACGACTTTGGATCTTCCCTTCCTAGTTCAGAGGATAAATGTTCTTCTCAGTCTCCTGATAAAATGAATTGATAACTTCAAGCAAGAATTGGTGATAGGATGGTGCACATACTTTAAAAAAAATAAGACAAAGCACATCCCTGGGAAGAGGGAAGGCCAGGAAGGTATGCTCTGAAGGGGGACCAGAGCCTCAAGACAAGATAGGCTATGAGCGTTAGAAAATAAGAACCAATATGTGGGAGAATCTAGCAGAGAGTGTACAATGCAATAAAAAAAGACTATTGCCTTTTAATTAAAACTGCAGTCTGGAACACACGCATTCAAATGTGTAATCAAAAACCAGTCACCAATAAAACTTACAAGCGTAACACACTGAAGCAACTTTCCAGCTGTCTTAATAGGACCCCTGCGTGTGGCAGCCTTTCATATGGCAGAAAGCAAATCTTCCCCTTTTGTGTGTGGCTTCTGTTTCCTCAGAAGGTGAATCATGCACTTCCAATAACAGGATAACGTCAGAACAATTCAACAGCGGATGGAAGCACCGCACTTACAACTTCATGAATTAACACTTGGGGAAGTCGGCACTCCATCTCATTTTCCCCTTCCTCATTATCAACGCAAAAGTTAAAAATCATGCTAATTCCCCCAGGAATATAGGGAATGTGGATCACCATCGCTTTATTCTTTGCAGCTCCAGAAGAGTAAAAGTAATTCTAGCATTTCTCACTGTATTTTAAAACTATCTTTTCAAAATGGCCTACTTAAAAATTTAAGTTGGTGAAAATTATGTCCTTCCAATTAGCTTTCAATAAGCATGTGTTTTAAAACAGGAAAATGTTTTGCTCTCTTCTTTTGCCAACGTACGCACATGGATTTCTCCAGGCAGGCTCTTCTTCCTCCTTTAACTACATTCAGAGAGAGGCATTCTGCCAGGAGGAGACCAGGGGCGTTCTAGGGCTGTCTGTCTAATTCAGCAGCCATGGGACACATGTGGCTATCTAAATTTAAATTAATTAAAATTAAAAAATAGAAATTCAGTTCTTCTGTCCCACTAGCTATATTTCAAGCACCCAACAGCCACATGTGGCTAGGGGTTACCGTCCTGGACTACACAGATACAGAACATGCCCATCGTGTGGAAAGAGCTATTGGACAGCACTATTTCAGAATTTCTCTTTAGGCTTGCTCTGTGGAACTTTAAAAAAGGAAAATGAGTTGGAAGATATCAAAAGTGGCCCCTCTGATGATTTATAATCTTTTATAGAGATGGTCACAACAGCCTAAGGCCTGGACAGCGTGAGCCTGAGCTGGCTTCTCAACTGCAGGCTGAACTCCTGGTGACTCGCCTTAACGAACAGACTGCCAAACTTCCTCAGCGAGAGGCATCCGCTCAGGCCCAATTCTAGAGGGACCCACTAATGCCATTCACGTCTCATTATGAACACGCTTATTCTGCACAGCACTTGGCTGTCGCCACAGCTCAGCCCTCCGTGCATGGCCCCAGCAAGCCGCTGGTCCGGGGAACAGCAGGACGTTAGGCCTGAGTGGCCGTCTGGCGAACAGGCACTCTGACACTAAGCTGGCACGTGCTGGCCCAGCAGGGGCCGAGCGAGGCGTGACAAATTACTCAAAGAGCTGAGCTAAACTTATGGCTGACAACCACCTGAGCCTTTGGACAGCCGTGGCCCGCTGTCAACGCTCAAGTCATGGCTCCCCCTTTCAGGCCACAGTCTGCTTGTGGGCCTGGGTGAGAGCAGGCGCGTCCCTCTAAAGACCTGTCATGCTCTGCCTAGAATCGTCCTGCTGTTTCCTGAAAGGCCCCACTGCGTCTAACACATCCACAAACAGTGCTCGGGACAATGGTGAACAAAACAGAAATGCGAATGCATTTTGCTAAATATGCCATGGAAGCCGTGTATCTGGAAGAGTGGCTGCTATGTTAATCACGTCACCATCAAACCCACACAGGGATGCGTGTATAATACCATGCAAACTGACCCCTGACAGCAGTCTGTCATCCTCATCGTGGATGACACTATCTGGTTGTCATAAGCTTGTCCTTGTCAAGGCTGAGAGATGTGGGCTCCTAAGACCAAGTTCAGCACTAGAGTTATAGGGGGTAACATTAAGTTTTGAGATTCTCTGATTCAATGAATATTTATGATCTGACTCTAAATTAAGGCACTATGGGAGACAATGTAAAAAGGTGCTTCCAGGGGCTGGCCTCGTGGCCGAGTGGTTAAGTTCGTGCACTCCGCTGCAGGCGGCCCAGTGTTTCGTTGGTTCGAATCCTGGTCGTGGACATGGCACTGCTCATCAAACCATGCTGAGGCAGCATCCCACATGCCACAACTAGAAGGACCCACAACAAAGAATATACAACTATGTACTGAGGGGCTTTGGGGAGAAAAAGCAAAAATAAAATCTTTAAAAAAAAAAAAAAAAAAAGGTGCTTCCAGAACTGAGTATTAGGGGAGGAAGTGTTTACTTTATAGAAGGCTCCTGATCTCACCATTCAAGCCCCCAACTGTCACACGAAGCACACACTGCCCCACGCTCAGGCTGGCCCTAAGCTGTGGCACTAAACTGGGTGTTGTCATTCAGACAAACATCCATTAGGGACTGGGGAGAGGCCAGGAGATCATCAAATGCATTATCACTCGTGGCCCAAGCCAGGGCGTATAAACACCAGGACAAAGAGAAAACAAACATCCCCCCAATTCTGGCAGTGTTTAGAAACAGCCAAGGAGCTCATGGGTGCCAAAAACCATTTCCTTTAGTAGCTTTAAAAAACGTAGCTCTGGGATCTTAACTGAATTTATTAGTAGAACTACTGGCAAGGGCAATTCCAAGCAGTCTCATCTGACATTTTCTTACCTAACATCCTCAGGGCATCAATGCTGGTTGCCTTCTATAAAAAAGGCATTTATAATTTCGACATCAAAACACTTAGAAGGTTCTTTTCCTCACACATGAGACACGTTAAGATATGAACTGAATGCTGGAATGATGCCAGGCAGTGGATGGTCAGTGGCCTTTGACTGAACACAGGTAGCTAAAGAGGCACCTGGTCACAAGTCCAATACTCATTTCAATACTAGCCATTGCCTTTTTGTTCTCTCAGAAAGTCCACTAACAAATGTGAACCCTAGTTCTTTTCTGAATTACTCTCTCATTAAAACCCACACACAGTAAAGTACTTTTTTAAAGAGCAATTTTCCCCTTGATTGTTCAACTCAGAGAACATTCACACTATTAACTAGAAACCCATCTTAGTTTCTGGATATTTCTGAGTTTCTTTAGTGACCCACTCTGTCTACATTTTCACACAAGGATTTATCAATTATCAACATGGCTCTACTGGAATAAAGAGGCCCTATGTCTTCGTTGGTTACATTTTATCAGAAACCTCCGAGAGAACTTTCCAAGACCATCAACACACACTCTGCTGTGCTGCAAGAGCCTGAGAATCCAAACCCGACCCCGCAGCTTTATTCTGATTATTATTTGTCTTAATTTTCAGAAATGGTAGCAGCAGCATGACAGTCAGGAAGGAGCTTGCTTTTTGAAGGAAGACGGCCTAGGTTTGAAGTCCAGCTCTCTCCCCCACCAGCTGGGGGACTTGGGGCAAGCTATCCCAACCCCTCAGCCTTGGGTGTCCTATGTGTGAACTGGGCCACTCACATCTGCTTTCATGGCTGCTGGGAGGATTAAATGGAATCATGTGATGAAGCATCGACCCAGGTTCCAGGACACAAGAGAAGCACGATAAAAGTGGTTTGCCTGCTCCCCCTACTCCCTTAACGTGGGCTTATGGGTTCCTCTTCCAGAAAGAACATAGTGGATAAGCTCAGGGGAATCCTGGGCTTTACGACAAGCAAGCCTCCTTTATACTAGACCCTCAGGAGCTGGGGGGAGTCCCATGGTCTCCACGTTACTGATCAGGAAACGGAAGCTCAGAGCTCCAGTGATTTTCTGGAGTCACAGTTACTCAGTGGTGAAATTGGGACTAGCATCCAGGTCTTCTAACCTTTACTGCTTTCAGCTAATATCTTGAATTCTAGAATACATGAGATTAAGTTCAAGATCTTGTGCAAGGTTGGGAGCTAAACTCCAAATGAGAATAAAGCAACTGACTTAAATATGTGTGGGTAGAAAAATCAACCTGCAATTTAAACTTGAGTACATAGGTTTTAGCTGCATCTATACCCACAGACCATGCTGACTTCATAAATTCATAAAAATACCAACGACTTCATTTTAATTTCTTTTTACTTATTCAGGTTATATGTTTTTTGACTGTCATTTAGTACTGTCAACCTTCTATCTTGCAGTAACTTCTATCTTGGAATAACTCCATTTTTTTTTTTAATCAAAGAAAAAAGGGATCTGTTTGAAAGTCTACATTGGCAGATTGTATTTTTTTCAACCCTTGAGACGCTTCTTGCCTGGACCTTCTCTAAATTTGCCAAGAGTGGACACCATACTCAAACCAACAAAGCAGCCTTAGAGGAGGCTGCCCCCTGATGTGAGCACGTGTGTGTCCTGTAGCAGTTTACACACCCCTTATTGCCGACACAAGCCAGCCCAGAGCTAGCCATTCTCGTGACTCCACAGACTACTTCCGACAGCAGTGACCTGCAAAGGAGGGA